ATTATTATTATTATTATTATTATTATTATTATTATTATTATTATTATTATTATTACTATTATTATTATCCCATTCAAAGATGGCCCCGAAGAAGAAAAAGGTGTATATGCGCTCGATTGCGAGATGTGTTATACCACGCAAGGATTAGAATTGACAAGGGTAACAGTTATTAATGAAGAATGCAATGTTATATACGAAACGTTAGTTAAACCTCAGAATCCAATAATCGATTACAATACAAGGTAATTATATTTGTTGTTGAATTTCTAAATCATTAATATAAAGGGAGAAAAAAAAAAATAAATAACTAATCGTCTTTTTTTATGCCGATGTGATGATATGATATGATCCAGGTTCTCAGGGATTACAGAAGAAGATATGAAAGACGTAACGACAACACTTTTAGATGTTCAAGCTACGCTTCTTGCTATGTTCTCTAATAAAACTATACTAGTAGGTCATAGTCTTGAAAATGATTTCAAAGCACTGAGGTTACTTCATGATACTGTGGTAGATACTAGTGTCATGTTTCCGCATAGAAATGGTTATCCTCAGAAACGGGCATTAAAAAATCTTTGTTCTGATTATTTAAGAAAGATTATACAAAATGACGGTGAGTATTTTTCTTCTCAAAAATATTATATATAATAATTTAATTATAAAATGTACGTATATACGTCTCTTTAAATTATTCAAGATTCCTAATTATTGATGAATATGTTACAGTTGGTGGTCATGACAGTAAAGAAGATGCCGTAGCGTGTATGGAATTGGTACTGTGGAAAGTAAAAGAAGAAGCTAAATTGCAATAAACACACAAAAAAAAAAAAAAAAAAAAAAAAAAAAAGAAAAAACAAAAAAAAACACATGAAAATTATTTGCAAATAAATAAAATAACAAATTGCGCTGTATCGATTATACAGCTTTATATCATTCTTTTCATTTTCTTCTTATTACGCGACACGCTAACTGTTAGTAATATATATATATATATATATATATACACCATATATATATATATATATATATATATATATATATATATATATTTTTATATTTATATATACATACATATGTACATATATATGTATATATATTACACAAACACGCAGACATACACACACATACACACACTAACTTCCTAGAGATGTATCATTTTTCAAGAGAAAAGTGTACAGTATACATCTTTTTCTAATTATTTTTTTTTTTTCAGGATAAATGTTCGTACGTGCAGTTTCGTATAGCTTGTAATATCATTCATGATATATCACAATTTCATCTTTTTATATTTATGAATATAAATTATTAGTTTGTTAGTAAGAAAAACAAAACAAAGAGAGAAAAAAAAAAGAAAGAAGCGGTAAACTCATGTGTCGGGCTCTTAAGAAATGCGTATATCTGTGTCGCGATATTTCGATTAATATTTTTGTACTTCGTTATTCTTACCTATTTATATTTTAGATCATTAAAGAAACAAGATGAGTTAATTAATTGTTTGTTCACTGACCTGACCTTAAAAAGTATAAGAAAAAAAATATATATATATATACATAAATATATAATTTTAATTCTGAACGAGACGCGAATATTATTCGACTTGTACACAGATGTTACTTCTATTGCTATAAATAGATTGAATGCGATTGTTTACCCAAGAGATATATCAGATAAATTTGTAAAAAAACATTACTTCACTCTATGCTATCTTCGACTAGTAGTGTAGTAGTAGTAGTAGTATTAGTAGTAATAGTAGTAGTAGTAATAATAGTAGTAATATTAGTGACAGTATCTTAAAAAATATTTTATTTCTTCTTTTGTGTCTTGCAAAAATTGTTAACGATCTGAAACTGTATATATTTGTATACATATGCACAACTTGTTTCTGCAATACCTAATATAATATAATATCGATCTTAAATAAAAAAAAAAAAATATATATATATATATATTATATATAAATGCATTATGTATATGTTAGACGAGTCTATGTCCGCTGTATTTTTGTAAAAAAAAAAAAAAAAAAAAAGAAAAGAAGGAAGTAAAAATGAAAAAAAAAATAAAAAGCAAACGAAGCCGCAACAAATGATATATATATATATATACACGAGTTATATTAAATCAATAATAATAAACGCAATGGTCCTATGTAGATTTTATTATATACTGTTTTACAAAATATCACCATTCTCCTATTTATTTGTATTAATCTATCTACTTTATCTCATACAGTAGCTCTTTCACGTGGATAATATATATATATATATATGTATATATATATATATATATAAAAATCAATCGAGATTAGATAAAAAAGAAAAAAAAAATAAAAAAATTAAATTTTCAAAAATAAATGAAAACATTTGAAATCTTAATTATTTGACGTCACGTTTTAAGAGCACGTAATCTATCAGAGGAACATATATCATTCAGATAAGATGTCTCATACTTTTGTTTTCTTTTTTGCAAAAATATAAATTAATTTTATATTATATAAAGAATTCTATATTTATTTATTTCTCTCTCTCTCTCTCTCTTTTCTCTCTCTCTTTCTCTCTCTCTCTCTCTCTCTCAACGATATATATAAAATATCTCTTTCTCTCACAATGATATTGTCCATTGCATTTCTTTATTTATTTATTTTATCGAAACAGATGTTGCATGAAATATATCAACAATTGAGGTCAGATTTGTTGTTTATTATTTGCAATAAGGATCCTACTATACGTGGCAGCAGCATCAATTACATGTTCTTGTTTTGCGATCAATAACAGTGCAATGAAACGACAAAAATCTATGTTATCACTCTTTCTTTCTCTTTCTCTCCCTCTCTCTCTCTTTCTCTCTCTCTCTCTCTCTTTCACTCTCTCTCATTCTCATTCATCTTTCCACTTTCTAAATCTAAATCAGACTGTGTTAAAGAAATTTCGATTTTTCATTATTATCTTCTATTCAACTTCAATACACAAAATATTTCTTATCGTTCGTGTTCTCGTGAATGTCATTATTGTCTGCTTTTACGTATGGATCATTATCGATCATTTCTTTTTTTCAAATAAGATTCCTCCCAATTTTTCTTTCAAAATTTAATATGTTATAAATAAATCATATGAAAATAAAAAGTAAAACACAAAAAAATAAAATAAGTATTGTTAAATAATCACGTTCGTTGCAATTTTATTTATTTATTTATTAAAAGTTTGATCTTTTTCGAAAGAATGAAAGAGAAGATCATTGCAATTGAATGTACCGTTTGGAAGATATCATTTTTCAGAAGAGAAACGTGGACTATGCTACATTATGCATTTTGCTTTTTTTTTTTTACATACTCCTAGTATTTTAATATCTGTATAAAAAAAAAAAAAAAAAAAATTACATTTACATACTTAACATATTTGATTTTGAATAAAATAAGAAATCTTATTTCGAAGCATGATCGATTTCGCATGGAATGACCCGTATAGGATATATACTTCGTTTCACAAGTTTTTCTTTTATTTTATGTGCTTAAGAAAAATATGTACATGTATGTATATATATATATATATATATACAAATATATATATACATATATACGTCGACTATTAATTTTATGAATGAATTCTCTTATAAAGAATGTACACACATACATCGAGGAAGTGAATTGGCATTGAATTATCTATCGCAAGGACTCATGCAAAACGAACAATGCCTTCTTTCTCTCTCAATCTTTTTTTCTTATTTTTTTTTCTTTTTTTCTTTTTTTTTTTTTTTTACATGAAAATTTTCTATATTACATCCTTCTTCGCTCTCTTCATCTCTCTCTCTCTCTCTTGTTTTTTTTTTTTTTTTTTTTTTTATATTTAATTGTGCTTCTTCTTTGCTCCTCTTCTATAATCTCACTATATAACTCTACATTATAATACACCATTGATAATATTCTTTGATATTTTCTTTTTGTTTTCTTTTTTCTTTTGTCCTTTTTTTTCTTTTTTTTGTTTTCTGTTTCTAATGATTTCCAAACAATTTTTCTAAATTCGTGTCGTCAATTTAGATTCATATATCCATTTTTCTCTCCTGGAAAGTAATTATTTATAAAAAAAATTACAATCCCTCTCTTTCTCTCTTTATCTCAATGAGATACGACACGAGATGAATCTTGAAAAATTATTCATCAATATCATTGATATAGCATTAAAGAATAACACTGAATGATCTGGCACTAAGCACGAACTGTGATTTGATTAGAATTTTTATTACATATTCAGAAAGACTAAATATTAGTCTTATCCATTTATATATATATATATATATATATATATATATATATATATATATATACTATATCATTCGTACGTAACGTTCTACAGAGTGAAACATAGTGCGAATTTTAAAACAATCTGATATAATAGCTTTGGCAGGCATTGCTTCACCCATTAACGCTTAAAAATTTTATTACAATAAAAGGAAAATTTCTAATCTCGTAGTTACGATATCTTCTGCGTACGAATGTTATCGATATTAATCCGAAGATAAGTGAAAGTTTGCCTTCGTTTTTGCTTTTTTTTCTTTTTGTTTTTTTCTTTTTTGTTTTTTTTTCCCCCATTTTTTCTCTCTAATCATACTAATACTTATATGCATGAGTGTTTATATATATATATACACACATACTCACACACACACACATATATATATATATATATATACACATCACGTACACGTGTTTCTAATACAGCTCTTTTTTCTTTACAAAATACTCATTACTATATATAACATACACTGTACAAGACGTTGCGCTTATGTTAATATCGCTGAGTGTGAATTCTAATTCTAACGTTGTCTAATCGATCCGACATGAGGAAATCTTTTTAAAATGGTAAAAACGATCGGAGCGAGTTGCGTTCATCATGAGAACTTATGAATTAGAATAGAAAAAATTAATTTATAAACAACAGTGAGATACACTAGTTTTACTAGTTTCTTTTCTTTTCTTTTTTTTTTTCTTTTTTCTTTCCATATTTCTCTCTTTCTCTCTCTCTCTCTCTCTCTCTCTCTCTCTCTCTTTTTCTCATATCCTCCCATTCTCTTTCTCTTTTTATATTTTAAAAGATCGATCTAATAAAACAGACAAAGGTTCATCCTTGTCTGAATTTCAAAATACATAATTCTCTCCCTCTAAGACAGCGACACCGATCTTTCTAAAACGATCAATATGTTAGGATGTTGTATGTTAAACGAAATGATCTAAATCTTCGAATTCTCTCATCTAAACGATTAGATTTATGATATCTATATATCGAAATATAAGTATATTTTAATCGTTAAGAGAAGTTTCAAAAATAAAATCGTGCTTACACGACGATCCTTCCTCCTTTTCCTTCTCCTCTCCTCTTCGTCGCAAATTTTTATTACACTCTGTGTACTATAATATAATATAATTACGTATGATCCTGAAGGTATACTCTCTCTAAATCACTCTAAGTTTATCTTCTAATTATGAAGATAATGTTAAAGATATCTATCTCTTTTGTGATTAGAGAGCACGATGATGATGATAAATCTTTTTTTTCTTTTTCTTTTTTTTCTTCTCTCTCTCTCTCTCTCTCTCTCTCTCTCTCTCTCTCTCTCTCTTTCTCTTTTGTTTTTCTGTCTAATTGAAAATAATCGGAACATGCTATTTTTGTGTTGATCTATTTATAGATTATTAGAATGGATCGTGTTTTTGACTCGTGAGCTTGTTTAAAGCTTCCAAAAATAGTAGGTCACCTGGGCAGCTACAATTAACAACAACTAGCTAATCTCTCATCGTATACGAAGGCAACTAGTCGAAGACACATACGCGTTGGAATCTTTTTTGTTTTCTTATTTTTTGTTTTTTTTTTGTTTTTGTTTTTTTTTTTTTGTTTTTTTTTTCTGTCATTCTACCTTTCTATCTTTCTTTCTTTGGTAATGACAATTGTCTCGTTGCGGAAGATGAAAAAAAAAAGAAACGAATTTAAGAATGAACTTCGACGAATTAACGAATATCCTTACAGAGCATAAAGGGAAAATAAAAATATTGTCTGAACTGATGATAAATTATGTACATACAGATGAAAATTTATCAGCTAGCGATTGATTTCTTTTCTTTCCTTTTCTTTTCTTATCTCTTTTTCTTTATTTTCTTTCTTCTTTTTTTTGCTTTTTTTTTTTTTTCTTATTATTCGTTCCGCGATTAGGTCTTTAAATTCGTTCGTTAATGCAAAAAAGATTCTAAAAAGTCATCTAATTCAGTAGCTCGAAGCAAAGCGCATCGAAACGTAAATTATAACATTTGTTCGTTAATCCGCATGAAATCTCGATCGATCGATCATTAAGGCATTTTTTTTATTTTTTTTATTTTTTTTTTCTTCTTCTTATAATCTTCGTATCTTTTAATAACAATCCCAATTTCCCTTTGAAATTTTCTTCAAAGGATCAACGAAGAAGCTTCTACAACGGTCGAATATGTGAATATCTCAAGCGTTGCCTCTCTTTGCTTCACCTTATCTGTATTAGAAATAAAGCTAAAGAGCACCGAGAGAAATATTAAACAGCTCGTCCTTTTCTTATAGGCCTTTCGACGAAATGGCAGATCGATAATAATTGATTCAGTATATGGTATACTTTCATACGACCACAGCCACTTTGAAATGCCTTCCATTCACGTTTATCAGCATACTCTTCGCGAGAGCGTTTTATATTTATTTATTTATGTATTATGATTATCATTATTGTTATTATTATCGTTATTATTATTTTTATTATTATTATTATTATTATTATTATTATTATTATTATTATTATTATTATTATTATTATTATTATTATTATTATTATTATTATTTATACGCCATTGTTGGACCGATGAATTTGCCTTTTTTTTTCCTAAAAAATGAATTAAGATATTAATAGATTAATTAATTATGTATACGTATACATATATCGTACAATTTGTTTTGCGTTAGTAATCGTAATAATTACTTATGTATAAAAAAAAAAAAAAAAGGAAAAAAAAATATAGAAAAATGTCATACGAATTAAGGAGAATAAAAATTACATGAATTCGAAAAATTGCATAAGATAGGCTTACACACGTTCAGGGTTTCATCTGATCATCGTAATCCTGATCACCAACGAGATATAAAAATTGAAAGGCGATCGCAAGTAAACTGATGCCAAGTAGATCACCCATAGCAGTTAAATAAGGTATTGCCGAATTATCAGGATCTATTTTTCTTTTCCACATCCAATGGATCATTATATAGGCGATATACAAAAGTGCAGCCACTTGTAATACAGCGGCGCAAAGATATACGAAAACGAATAGAGGCGTTAACGATGTATTACCGTCTTTCATATAATTAATTAGATAAATGAAAATTATGTGACCGGGAATCACCATAGACATCAATACTCTTGTTGTTCTTGCATGTATACCTAAAACAAATTGATCGATATCAATTTTATCAATATTATTTAAGATTATCAGAATAAAATCGATAGATAGTTATTTTAACGTAATAAAAATAAGAATATTTTTTGATAGACTTAATTAAAGGTTAAACAAAAGTAAAAAAAATATCCATGAGAGTACCTTTGCCAAAGAAATTAGCTATTGGTGTAATGAAAATGACAGGATGAGTTTGACCAGGTGGTATCAAAAGCGTTCCAAGTTCAGCTTGCTTATGAAGAGCCGTTGATATTCTACTAGCTTGTACAGCAACAAGATTTCCACCAACTCCATTGATAACAGGTTGAAAAACCGTGAGATTTTCGAAACGTGATACCATGAATTCAAGAATCAAACCACCGCAACTGAAACGATCAAAATTTTCCTTTATTTTCCTGTGATCTTTCATTTTCTTGTCTTTTCCTTTCTTTTCTTTTCTTTTCTTTCCCTTTTTATCCTTTTTCTTTCTTTCCTCTCACTTCCTTTTCTTTAAGCTCGTTTATTTATACTTTGTTTGCCCAACCGATTAAAACTCATCGTATTTCAAGAAAACCTCGTAAAACGTACGAAAGTTTTATTGCGTAAGAAGTTGCCAAAACAAATCTAGACTAAAGCTCGCTTGGAGCGACAAATGTTAAAAATATTTCATTGATTTATAAATAACCGTGAACGATTATATGGGATATTAGTAGAGATATTGTTAGAACAAAACAACAGATCATTTATAAATCAATCTAATAAATGTGATGACATTTTAATAAAGATATCATTTTTGAAAATTTAATTAAGAAAGAACAAAAAAAGAAAAAAAAAGAAAGAAAAAAATATCATTTTGAATAATTGTCCCGATACGGATATAAATAAATTGTCATCATATAATAATCATTTTACAATCGAATTACAATGAATTTAATTAACGAATTATAATAATGATCTCTCTCTCTCTCTCTCTCTCTCTTTCTCAAATAATATAAATGGAATAATACCTGCTAATCAACATGGCAACCATGACAGGTGTCCATCCAGAATAGAGCACATCATTGGTATATTTATTTCTCTTGGCAATCCAAACCCAAAGTGGTGTTACAAGAACGTAGCATGCAATAACGAGTGGTGCCAGCCAATCCTGTTTATCGATCGATTCGTAAAGGATCGTTGATATCCATGATAGAAGGGCTAAAGACGTGATGTCACCAAGACTAGCAGCTATCGGTGTTGCTACATTGTCAGGATTGATGTGACAGTGACGTGAGAAGACTATGACGCCAGCGGTTATCAAACCGAGAACGAAGGAAGCCAAGGATGCTGTTACTAAACTGCTAGCACATAAGAGATATGCATGATCCAAAGAAACTGTACCATTACGGAAGGCACCCATAACAATTGCCACGACTGAGCCCAGAAAACCAACGACTATAGCTTGACACTGTTGAAAAGAAAAATAACATGTAATTATCAAGTGATATCAAAGTGCATTCAATTAATAATACTTAATGATTCGAAATATATAAATGTATAGAATATTTATTAATTTTTTGTTTCTTTCTTTTTTTTTCTTTTTTCTTTTTTTCAACGAGATAATCTTCACGATAAAAATAAACGAAACAAGTAGCTATTTTTACAATGTTTTACGAAGGAATCTGATTATAACAGAAATGATAATAAATGATCGAACGGATTTTTTTGTCCGATCTCAATCAATCTCGTTTCGGTTTGTTTAGATCATATTGCAATTACGCGTGTAGATTGTCGAAGGTCGACTATCGTCAAAGCGTTAAATACATAATAAAATAAAATTCTGGCGCCAACAGATAAGCCAGTATTTCACCATCGCATTCAGAATAAGAATATGCGATCGAATCAAAAAGCTAGGAAAACGGTTCTCGCGAATCTCGCATCGAAGTAAAACGCGTTTTCTACGAAAAGTAAACGTAGATATTAAGTGTAAACAATGTAGACGCGCCGTCGAGATAAACCGAGAACGAGAAAGAAAAATTCAAATGAAGTAACGTAACGTGTCATTGATAATTAGCAAATAGCTTGAAGCGTTCGTTTCATAAAAAAAAAAAAAAAAAAAAAAAAGAAAAAGAAAAAAAAAGAAAGAGAAAAAGAAGAAGAAGACGAAGAAAAAGAAAGAAAGAAAGAAAGAACGAAGAATACGATTGATAATGTATTAGTTAGAACTTAGAGGCAATTCTTACTTGTATCAAAACGAGATTCCCAACGATCATGTACCACTGTTGTTTAGGCGTATCCATGTGTCCAAGATTCGCTTGTGTAGAGAGACGAGACGCCAAAGTCATTTCTAGATTACCTTTAAGACCTAAAAGTGCTGGCACCAGTATCATCAGTTCGTTCACTTTATCAAACACAACCCAGTGCTGTGAAAAAGATATAAGTTCATTTCTATAGAATATACACAAATGAAAATGTTTCGATCAAAGTGATATCAAAATATCAACGTCAAGATCAATATTATATAGCTCAAATATCGATCTTTGATATATCGATTAGAGTTAAACGTTCATTTCGAAATAACATCTTAAATGTTTAAATGAATTATTGAAGAATCTT